GAGAGAGAGAGAGAAACATTGATATGAGAGAGACACACTGATTGGTTGCCTCCCACATGGGCCCCAACCAGAGCTGGGAATCGAACCTGCAACCTAGGTACGTGCCCTTGACCTGGAATCAAACCTGCAACCCTTCAGTACATGGGCCAACGCTCTAATCACTGAACCACACCTGCCAGGGCACTATAGATTTTATTTTTTATGATAATTTTGTATTGCTACTTAAATAAAAACATAAGCCTAGATTCATAAGTGATGTGCTTATCAAGCTTGTACAGTTATGGAATTATCAAGACAAATTTACAAATTAAATTTAAAATCATTAAAAATACAATTTATATTTATAATGCTAATTTGCTGTACTTGATGGAATTATTTTTTTAAAATATATCTATTGATTTCAGAGAGAGGAAAGGAGAGGGAGAGAGAGAGATAAAAACATCAATGATGAGAGAGTCATTGATTGGCTGCCTCCTGCACTCCTCCAACTGGGGATGGAGCCTGCAACCCAGGCATGTGCCCTGACTGGGAATCGAACCACAGTCTCCTGGATTCTAGGTCAATACTCAACCGTTGAGCCACGCCCGGCCAGGCGATGGAATTTTAAAAATTACTTTGTTGCTTTCTGAAGTATGAATATGACATGATATTTCTGTTCTCAAACCACCTTTTCCTAGTTTTAAAAAATTAATCCAGCTCGGCTGGTGTGGCTCAGTGGTTGGGTGTCGACCCATGAACCAAGAGGTCACTGGTTTGATTCCCAGCCAAGGCACATGCCCAGGTTGCAGGCTGGATCCCCAGTAGGGGGTGTGTGGGAGGCAGCTGAACAATGATGTTTCTCTGTCATTGATGTTTCTCCCTCTCTATCCTTCTCCCTTCCTCTCTCTCTAAAAAAAAATTAATAAAAACATATTTTTAAAAAATTAATCCAACATCATTAATAATCACTTTTTAAAAATTATTTTTAACTATTTATTGTGGAAAATTTCAAACATACATAAAGTTAGAGAGAATATTATATTCAGACACCAGTACTCTTTACTCAGCTTAGACAGTTGTTAATATATGGCCAGTTTTGGTTTATCTGTGCCACCACATTATTCTCCCACTCCACTGGCATATTTTTGTTGTAGTTGTTTATCCTCACCCGAGGATATTTTCTTCCACTGACTTTTAGAGAGAGTGGAAGCGAGGGAGGGCGGGGGAGAGAGAGAGAGAGAGAAATATAGATATGACAGATCGGTTGATTGCCGCCTACACGTGTTTCGACCAGAGCCAGGGATCAAACCTGCAACCCAGGTGCATGCTGTTGACTGGGAATCGAACCTGCAATCCTTTGGTGTGTGAGCTGATGCTCTTAACCACTGAGCCACACTGACCAGGGCATCACTGGCATATTTTTTATTAAATTCAAGACATCATATAATTTTATCCATAAATAACTCAATTTGTATCTCTAAAAGATAATGGTTCTATTTTGTAACCTAAGTATAATACCATTATTATGCTTAATACATTTGAAAATGTTTTCAGTGTCACCTAGTCAATGTTGAATTTTCCCCAGTTTTTATTTTTAGTTCATGCTTTTTTGAGGTGTAATTATATACAGAAATTGCACATAATTAATGCATAAGTAATGTGCACTTTCAGGTACAGTAGGAGGTTAGATCTCATGGTAAGTGTTCTTCCCATACACAGAAAAAACAACCAAAAGTGAAACACACACACGACGAAAGTTTTGGATGTGATGAGTATGTTTAGTACCTTGATTGTGGTGATGGTATCACCATGTATGAATATGTCCAAATTCATCAAAATGTATACATTAAACCTCCACAATTTTTGGTTTTATTATCCCTGTACTTAAAACTAGTAGAAATTAACCAATTGAAATCTTCATATTTGGTCAGTAGGTGTATGGATGAAGCTAGAATGAAGACTTAAGTTGATATGATAAAAGAATTCCAATATCAGCTGCTTTTTAAAAATAATTGCTGAGTGGTAGAGGTTGGAAGATGACTCAAGGTCATTCATGAACTGAATTCTTTCCATCCTGTTGCTCCACTTTCCTCTGAGTATCTTCCTCAACTACATGGTTGAAGCAGGGTTGCAGTTACATCCGTGTTCCAACTAGCAGGAAGGGGAAGGAGAGCATGAAGGAGGGAGCACATGCCCAAAGTCTGTGGCCTAGATTTGGAAGTAGTCGATAGCCCTCTACTCACATTACATTGATAAAAGCAAAGTGAATTGGCTGTATCTATCTGCAAGGGAGGCTCAGAAATGTAGTCTGTAGGGGACCAGTCATGGCTGAGCTACTATACTATAGAAGAAGGGAAAAACAGATTTTTAAAAAAATATGTCCTTATTGATTTCAGAGAGAGGAAGGGGGAGAGAGAGAGAGAGAGATAGAGACATCAGTGATGAGAGAGTTATTGATTGGCTGCTTCCTGCACGCCCCACTCTGGAGATAGAGCCTACAATCCCGGGCATGTGCCCTGACCAGGAATCGAACTGCAATCTCCTGGGTCATAGGTCGATGTTCAAGTGCTAAGCCAAGCTGGCTGAGCAAGGAAGAACAGAGTTTGATAACAGATTACATTTTCTGCCACAGTCCAACTCTTTGGCCTTCCAGATATTGCTGCAGCTCCTACTTTCTATACATAGAACCGTTTATCCCCTCCCCAAGGGAGAGGATACACAAGCCGACCCATTCGCTGCAGCTTGCTCAAATTCTAGGATTCCTGGGTAGTGTGCAGTTTTTGTTTTTTGTTTTTTTGTTCTGATGTGGCTCTTCATGGCTCAGCAATCTATAAACTCAAAGAGAAGAGATCTGCTCCTAACAGTATATAGAGTCCCTTTCAGAAAAGGGAGAACCCGGCCCTGGCCCACGTGACTAAGTTGGTGAGTACCTTGTCTCATGCACCGAAAGGTTGCTGGTTTGATTCCCAGTCAGGGCACATACCTAGATTGCAGGTTTGATCCCTGGTTGGGGCACATACGGGAGGCAACCAATTGATGTTTCTCTCATACATTGATATTTCTCTTTCTTTCTCCCTTCCCCTCTAAAATCAGTATAACATATCCTCGGGTGAGAATTAAAAAAAAAAAAAGAAAGAAAGAAAAGGTAGAACCCGGAAACACACAGCAGTTACTAGTCAGTAGCAGGTATTAAATGTTGCTGAGCAAAACTTGCAAAGACTTCCAACTGGGTTTTAGAGTAAATTTCTTGGTTAGCTCCTCTAAGTGCCTTCCTGGTTCTGTTTTCTGGGAGAAACCTTTTATCCATTGTCCTCTGTGGACCCTGGCTCTGCCTTCTAGGAGATTCTTATTTGTTCATTGTCCTCCAGGATCACAGATAAATTGGATGTTGGAGAGTATGCCCTCTGTAGAGGCAGCTTAAGGACTTGAACAATCTTGAGTTTTAGCCAACTGGGCGTTTAGGTAGTATAATTCCCTCCAAACTTTGATACCGTTCAGGTCTCTTTGTTGCCAACCACCTCTGTATGTCAGAAACCATCTCTGAAGCTATTTTCTGGACATAGAGTTCTTTACCTTCCTCTGTTTCTTGTCTTTATTTCTAGACTCATGATTCTTTACCTTTAATGGCTGCTATCTCAAAGCCATCTGAAATAATAGTCTTGAATGGGAATATAATATGCTTAATCTGATGTTTATTCCAGGACTGGATCTTTTTTTCTTTTTTCCTTATTGGGAGGTCTTTGAGAAAAGTAGTGACCAACAGTAGTTTTATAACTAGTCGTTTGATATAGAGAAACAATCTCTTCACACCTGTGAGGTCCCAAATATCTAGACAGTCTCTGTTCCTTCCGTCTTTGTTCATAAATTGGCTAATTCTTGTTTG